TAATGTATTTACATATGTATACCGCTATGTCATAGTATTTTTGATCACATCATATGCATATGGAAGCTTGACAAGGCATCGGAAGACTAGGGAAGGCTTGCTGTATTTGGATCACGGTGTTGTCGACGAACATTGAATGCACCCTGGAGTGCCAGGGAGAGAACAAATCTGTCTTGGGAGAAGTATAGGCAGAGTGCTTCTTAGAAGCCCTCCACCCCGTCAGTGTTCTTTGGGCATGTTATTCGGAGAGACCCGTTCCTGGAAAAGAACGGCATTCTTGGTAAAATAGGGGGTCAGTGAAAATGAGAAAGCCCTTCAAGGGGGTGGATTGCCACACTGGCTGCAATAATGGGCTCAGACATAACAAGCACGAGGACCGGTCTGGGCTAGGCAGTGTTTTGTTCTATTGTCTGTTTGGTTCACGGTGAGTCAGAACCAGCCTAACAGCAACCACCACGGTTCCAGGAAAGCTTCTCCCTCCTTTGGGAAGTGGAGTAGATTTCGTAGAATCTGTTTAGTAGATCAGCGGACATGGAGTTGGTTTCTTCTTACACAGGGGAATACCTGTCCATTTTAAAGTCATGATTCCCTCAAAGCACCTCCCTTTAAACTTCTCCCACTTTCTGCGGTAAAGCATATGGACAATGGCCAGGCCTTTTACAAAGACGTCCAATTTGCATTCATCCATTTGTGCATGAAAGAAATATTTTACTCCACATGGGTGTGTCAACGACCTGGGAGGAAACACATGAAATGTGTGTGTTTGAACCGGAAGCGCCCCTGGGGGCTGTCTGGTTGACCCTCTAACTTTACAGATGAGGCACAGGCGGGCGGGCAGCTTGCTCAGTTCTGCCCGTCAGTTGGGCAGTGGGGCACAGCTGAGGCTGCAGCCAAGCTATCCCGACTCCTAATTTGTGTTCTTTCCGATCTCTGCTGCCTTGGTTTTCAGTTCGTTGGGCAGTTGAGTTTTGGGCATTTGCTGGGTTTGCACATTTGGTAAGTAGATAATGACTGATTTTTGTTGTGGATGCATGATTGAAGTGAAGACGGAATACTGTGTTACAGAAATGATTAGTAGAAACACTTGGGGGGGGGAACTCCAGTTTACAGCAACTTTTAACTAAATGGTCCCCGCCCCCCGCCCCCACCCCCACCCCAGCTATAACCTATGTAGCTAAAAGGCTGACCACAAATGTTTTTGACCTTTTCAGAACAGAAGACTCAATGGCGGACGATGACAAAAGGAGGTACGTTTGGTATTGCATCTGGCTTTAATTTGAGTAAGTTGGCCACGCTTCATGGATTTTACGCACAGTACGCTCATTGCCAATGCTACGAATTCCACCAGGAAGACTGTGGTCACAGAGACTACAGGTAGGAGCATGTGACCAGAATGACAGCTTGCTTAGCAGAAGTCTTGATCTTTTTTTGAGCTGCTTTTGCTTCAGCTTGGTTTTTGCCCTGTACCCCTGAGCCGTGCTAATGGCCTTTGTGTGTGCTGTTTCAGCTGAATGACTCCCCTTTGCTGAAACACGACGGCCGTTTCTACTCCTCTACCTGTTCTTCCAATGAACTGCATTCTCCTCTCATCACGCCTCATTATGTGTCTACATATAGGTAGCACGTTTTGTTTGTCCCTAAGCAACGCATACCATTTTGACTATTTTGAATTCTTGATAAATGTTGATGATCTCCACTACACCGCACACTACTGTCATTTATCATTCCACAAAATAACATTTCAACTTTTCTTCTTTCTCAACCGCAAGTAAAATATCCCCAAACGTAACTAAAGAGATTCAGCATTCTCTCATCCTCCTCCTTCCTTACTCTCTCCCCTGCCTCCTCCTCCTTTTTCTTTATCATCATCACCATCGCTTCTTTTTAAGCGTAAAAAAAAAAAAGTATTTCCAAGGGCAAACATATCCCCAACTCTCCTTCTGACGAATCACACATCGTTTTACACAATTGTACCTTTGTTTGAAGTGCTCCAAGGTGCTGCTGCGCTCTGTAATTACGCAGGCTCATTTAAATGGGTCTGATTTTCCCGTCTGTTTCCTTTCCTTAAGGAACTATGGAGGGGTGTACGTGGGCCTTCCCCCGGAAGCGGTCAGTATAGTGTCCAGTCAGACAAAGACTGTGCGGAAAAGTAAGTGAAAAATCACAAGGCTCTTGTTCTTTCTCAAAATGCACTTCTGTAGTGTGTGGGGAAATGTGGGCTTGATGTTTCAACTGGCCAGACTCAAGCTGCGCCTTGACTTCGGGGTCTGAACCATCCCTAAAGATGGTCTGTTCACAACGATCCCTTGTTGCAGTTGCCACCACAGGCCGCAATAGTTCCAAAGTTGAGTCCGGCTTCTATTTGCAGCTGTGCTCCATGGGTATTTTTAATTTCTTGTTAATATCAGTGATGATAGGTGTGAAAAATCAAAGCCATGTCTTAACAAGTGTATGGAGTATTTGTCGAACATAAAAAATACATGCCTGTAATATTTTATAAAGATGACTAACTAGTAAACGGTCTAGTGATTAAGGGAAAGATAAATGCCTACTGTATAATTAAATGAAATGCGTTCCTATGGTGCGGAGCTAAGGAAATCCTTTTAACTAAGAGGCAGGGCTGTACCCTGGGAGATAGCTTCTCATTTGAGTAAGATTTTAAGAGAGGTTCCTGGCAGAGAACGTTACTTTTTTAATAATTACACAACTGTCTTTTTCATAGTTTTAAATGACTGCTAGTAGGTATAATTTTCACAGAAGGCTATATTATGTATTTTTTAGCATTTTGTAATTATGTTCCTCATTGCTTCTTTCCTATTTTATGATTTAGACAAGATGCACAAGCACGTTTACTGTGATCGTTTTATACAAAACTAGAATATGTTCTTTATAATATGAATGCTTAACTTTTCTTAATTTTCCCTTTAAGATTAGAAGACAGTGATACCGTGATTCAGTAATCAAGAGGTATTGAATATTTTCCTAAACAATTCTGTTTGTTGATGATGTGTGACTTGTGGGTGTTGCTATGTGTTTCTCAGAAATCCTAAACTTCAGGATCAGAAGGATTAGTCTCATTTGATAGCTAAATGTATGGAATTGGAGGTGTTTTACTTTAAAGAGTTATTTAATGATCAGATCAATTTTCTTTGCTGCCCCCCACCTTTTATAAATGAAGCCCAATTTTCTTAATGAGAGCACTTAAGACTGTTCACCTAGCGCACGGAGGCTTCAGCCTTCCTCATTGCCCCAAACTTTGAGCGACCAGAACTTGAGTTAACATAGAGGGAGGGACCAGAGAGCTAGGACTGATTATTACCTTAGGAGAAATGGTGTTTGGCGATAGCCAGGAATTAGTTAATAGATAGAGTGGGGATATATCACTACCAGGAATCCAGTTGAGACAAGTGATTGCCAGTGTACAGAGAGAGATACCATTATGTGGGAAAACATGGTAAAATTATAGACAGTTCACAGGTTGCACGAATAGTGTGAAACATGTTCACTATGGACAGAGGAAATTACCGTCTGAAAGATAAGGCACCATGGACATAGGGTTCTGGTAAAATTCATGGGTTAGAATTACAACAAGACACACAAGGACAAGAGACAGCAGCTTTAATTTTTTTAAAATCTCCACTCTGTACACCTGATCGTGACCTTATAGGAAGAGTAGAACTGTTCCCAGGGGTTTCAGAGATTGTAACTCTTTAAGGGAGTAGATAACCTCATCTTTCTCCTGCTATGAGACAGAATCAACTTGATGGCAGCTGAATGAGTGTGAGTGTGTGTGTGTGTGTGTGTGTGTGTACACCTGCCTGTACAAAATGTTGAGCAGTCAATTCCATAGAAACAGAGTCTCGGGCTCTCTAGTTCAACGACACATTAGATTATTGGATCCTCACTGTATTGTATGAATGATATCCAACCTTAAAAACATCCACGACTCCCTATTCCTGAGGGAGTCCACTCTCTCTGGGGAATCATTTAGCATTAGATTTGAATTCAGGCTCTACTGCTAGCTCCCCTTTGAACCTTCAGCTTCACGGTTTATAGCAAGAAGCAAACATTTACTTTGAAGGGCTATTGTTAGGACTAAATAAGAAATAGATGGTAGCTTCTGTTGTTGTGGCCTTCCTCTTCTTCATCATCATCACCATGATCATGCTAATACTCTACCTGGTAACTAGAATCTAGCCATTGGCAGATGAGGAGCAAATTTGCCTAATACATCTACTCCCCATTTAACGGCATGACGAGTATTCAAAGACCAGGTCACTGCGCAAATATCGTCATGGAGGAAAACCCCATCAGATCATCAAACGGGAGATGGCTGCATCATGACATACCTGCCAGATTATGTTTTTACATGATGGCCAAACCATCGAGAATCATGGCTTAGCAAAAGTGACACATCACCTTAACCATCAGAGTCCGCATTCCTCTTGCCTCACCCTTTAGCCTTCATTACTGTGAGAAGTACATTGTTCATGTGCAAAAGAGTTAGGTAGTAGATTTTTTACTATTGTAATACATGGGAAATGTTGGATAACAAGAATAGTGGATGAGTGAGGATTAGATGGATTGGAACAACTTCTGCCAAGGGTAGTACTGGTGTTGGTGTTTGGAGTGAGGAGAGGGGGAGGTAGAGAATGAGCTCACAGATGTAGGGAGATAAGCCTTCATTGTTTGGGGGAAGGGAACAAACACTCTCTTCCTGACAAGAACAAGGAAAGTCTCTGGGCAGCCACTTTCTTCTCTGGATTTCTGACCAAGTCGCCGACATTAGGGAGGTTTATTCCCCGGCATTCCACGTCCATTAGATTGTTCCTCTGGGTATTTCCTGGGTGTTTTCTGTTTCCAGTTATTTTTAAGGCGCCATAGAGATTTCTGAGTTTCCTGCCAGTTTTCCCCTTTGCAACAGTCATTTTGTTAGTTACCTCAAATTGAAAAGATAATCTAATAGAAAGGAAGCACACATCACTCTTTGGCCTCCAAATATCAGGTGTGTTTTTTTTAAGTCTTGGCGTGGCAAGAGATGCCATGTAGCTATTGGGGACTGGCTGTGTTCACAGCTCTGCTGTCAACCTAGGATCAGAGATGAGTCCCTTAACTTCGCAACTTTTTTCAACTTTCTCAAGAGAACTGGACAAGACGATTGTTCCTTTATTGTATGAATCCAAAACTTTGTGATAACAACATAATATATTGTTAGTAAGCCTGCCAATATGACATTAGTCAACTAGCGAAAATATTTCCTTGCCACCCCTGGCTATAAATATCTATATTTTATCATTACTTCTAAATCCCCTCAATGCACCGTTTTCTTTAACTCTATTTCTGAGTAGTCAATTTGATCCAGATCTTTCCTTCCTCATTTTGAATTGCTTGAATATTTTCCAAGTTGAAATGCAATCTATTTTTTCCCAGTTGTTCAAAGCCCATTTGTGTTAGGTATGTGTGATGGCTTTGTGAGTGTTGGGAGGAGACCCTGCTGGGAAAGCCGCCTTTGGCAAGGAAGACATTTTCTGTCAAGGACGGGAGCTTAACTTACCATGTAGAATATCTCTAGAAATAATGACGCCTGAGTTCAAAGTTGATTAGGCTGTTTTGTTGAAACAGATTGTGGAATAGTTTCAGCATGGGCTACAATTACTAATGTCATAAGTACTAATGTCTGGTTTCTTGTATGGATGACTCTAGGGTGGATGTTGAGCCCACTCAGCTGTGTGTGGAATACCTTCAACACAGAGGTTCTCGAATCATGGTTCTTAAATACCGGTTGATGGTCTTACTGGACGTGCTTCTCACAACGGAGATGACTAGCCCCTCCTAGGAGCCCTGGTGGCATAGTGGGTACGGGTTGGGCTGCTAGCTGCAAGGTCAGCAGTTTGAAACCACCAACCTGCTCCATGGGAGAAAGACTGGGCTTTCTACTATGGTGAAGAGTGATAGTCTAGGAAACTCACAGGGGAAGCTCCACTGTACCCTACAGCCTTGCTGTGGGTCAGCATTGACTCGATGGCAATGACTTTGAGACCCTCCTAAGGAACATTGGTAACCAAGAGGTCAGTTCAAACCCACCAACCCTCTGCAGGAGAAAAAGACAATCTGGTGACCTGTTCCTATAAAGATTCCAACATTGTTCTCTCGTAGTGAATCTTATAGGGTAGACTCCTCTGTCTTTACAGGAGTAGAAAGGCACACATGCTTAACCACTGTGTCACCTGCACTCCTCCATACTGATTACAACCTTGGAAACACAGCAGCTCTGTCACATTGGGTCGCATAAATCATAATCCAGTTGGCAGCTCACAGTTGCGCCTCCTAAGAGGTTCTAACCAAATAGGAAATGGCTGGGGTTGTGGCTGAACAGGCTGTATTTTTAATACATACAGCTAGGCTTACCTATTGTTTATCAGGTTGTATTTTAATTGTAATTCTTTAAGTCTCTTTCACTACCTTTGTCCTTCCCTATAAACACCCATTAGTTAGCACTGCACTGGCTACATATGAAAATTAAACTCAATAGTGAATGAATGCTGAATATGTCCTATTTAAAATCAGTAAACGTTTGGTAGACATTGTTCATTGCCACAGGATCCATGGTTCATGGCCGTGCATGTCAGTGTAGATTTGGAAGCAGATAGCTAGGCCTCTGTCTTCCCAGGCACCTCTGGATGGGCCTATAGATTAACCATTTGTGCCACACCCTGAGACTGATTTTATCGGAGTTAATACTTTTTCCAAGCTTCCTAACTCTTTTAATTTTATTTTTTGTTGTCTTCATAGCCTACAAATCAAGATACTGAAGGAATGTGGCTTGACGGGACCTTGTATCATGCACAGACGTTTCCAAGTAAATTCTAAACCATAGCACCTCTGCCTCCGGTCCAATAGTCTTAGTGTAGAGTTAAAGCCATGGGTACCTGCTGAATTGTGTGGTAACAGGGGGACTGGATAGATCGTACCCGCATGTATGGAACGTTTGGCGGATGAACCCTGAAGGACAAGTTGATGAACTGGCATGGGAACTGCAATTGCCCAGTCTGGTCGGCTCTGCGTCTGCAGCCTCTTCACCCTAGTTGTTCAACACACTTCATGAAGGTCATATCTTTTCACTGATACTTTTTGATAATTTTTATATAACTAAATCTGTACTCTATTTATAATGTAGACTAACAAGTCTTATAAATGAACTATTTAAAGTAATGCTTTGGTCTAGTATCTTTTGCTGTTCTCATTTCATTGTAATTTTGAGCTGGAAAATTGTTCGGTTGGTTCTTTATCTCCTCCCCCACCCCCTTTTTTTAACCATAGTTTTCAGTTTTATTGCAAAGACAGAGGGTTTTCTTTTATTAGTAACGTATGCCATTGCAATGTTGAAAAATAAAGGACTTAATTCTGCACACCATATTCATATTTTGGTTAAATTTCTATTTTCTTTATTCCAGGGCTTATATAGTTACAGATACTTTATAGCTTTTGAGTGTCCCTCTTCCCCTTTATGTAATCATGGTATCTCATCCTGTTAATTCTTTACTGTTTTGGGGGACTTTTGATGGGTGGCTAGTGGGCTAATTGGAAAGTTCTTGATTCGCTAATCATTATTGTGTCTTTCCTTGGTACTACAGCATAAATCACTCAGTTTACCAATGTATTTCAACAATTAAAACATTTTTATCCCTCTTTACGTGGATTTCTGAATTATTCTGAAATAGAACAGATGCCACTGTGATCTATAGACATGCTAATAATCCCTTATAAATAAATTGCTAAGAAAAACAAACACCTTCACAAGGAGAAAGGCATTATCTTATATAGTATATGTTAAAAAAATCTCTGCATTACATAAAATATTAATAGTTTGTTCATATGATGACCATAGAGACATCAAATTAATACAACTTTTTAAAGATTCGAGTGGCTATGCAGTGATGATTGTGAACTGTTGGGAGTTGACTCCTGCTCTCAGTGATACTCATGGTGAGGACTTTTATTTTGCTCACATTGTATTGTCATCCACACTCACGGCTTTTAAAATCCATACTGTAGTCTCTGACCTACATCAGTCCGTCCCTGAAGTTTGCTTTGCTTTCAGATAGCAAGGTGGTGTCATCTGCATATTGCAACAGACACAATAGGCCGAAACACTGCCTGGTCCTACAGCATCTTCACAATTGTTGTTTGAGCCCATTGTTGCAACGACTGTGTCAACCCATCTCATTCAGGGCCTTCCGATGTGTTTTACAAGTCCTTTACGTCACCAGACATGTCCCTTTCCAGGGACTGTTGTCTCCTGATAATGGGTCTATACGTGATCCGTGATCCATGTATACATGATGCAATGATACATGATACTCATGCCATCTTTGCTTCTAAGGAACATTCTGGCTGTATTTCTTCCAAGATTTATTTGTATTTCTGGCACTCCGTGGTACTTTCAGTAGTCTTCACCAACACCGTAATTCAAAGGCATCGGTTCTTCTCTGATCTTGTTCATGGTCCAGCTTCCACATGTATCTGAGGCAAGTGAAAATGCTACCATTTGGATCAGGTGCACCTTCGTTCTTAAAGTGCCATCTCTGATTAGCGATCCAAGTGAAATGAAATCCTTTACAAATTCAGTCTTTTTCCATCGATCATCGACCGAGGTGTGAGGAGTGTTGTTTTCTCTGAGTTGTCATCCCAAGTAGCAGCTGTAGTCTTTGATCTGCATGAGTACGTAGCTCAAGTCCTCTTCACGTTCAGCAAGCAGACTTAGGCCGTCTGCGTATTGTAAGTTGTCAATGACTCCTCAATCCAGACCCTGATCCCGTTCATTCCCACAAGTCCATGATGACCTGTACGTGGAAACGGAGCAGTTTCTTCTGTTAGGGATAACAAAGAATTGGAGTTTTGGAAACATTTTTATCTAGAAATAACTCTAAATTTACAGCGTTGTAAAGATGATACTGAGATTCCTTATGTACCCTTTACTCTCCTCTCCCAATGTTAACATTTTCCATATCTGGAGACCATTTGACAAAACTGAGGAAGTGTATATAGTGCATGCAGGGACATTATTAGCTAAAATACACACTTTCATGGAATTCCATCTGTATTTGTTGGCTGTATATTTGGTCAACATGTTTCCACAGCCTCTCGTCCTAATAGTTTCCCCCTGCGCCCTCCCCTTCTTCTTCCCTACCTTGGCATTTTGAAAGTGTACTCTGGTCAGATATTTGGTGGTATGGGCCTCAGCTGGGATTTGTCTGCTGTTTTCTCATGGTGTTGTTACTGTCTGTGTTTTCTCATGGTGTTGTTACTGTCTGTGTTTTCTCATGGTGTTGTTATTGTCTGCTGTTTTCTCA